AACACTGAACTAGCCACATGAAAACACATGAGCTGTTTTGTTAAAAAACAGCTGTTTCCTCCAAGCAAATGAATCAGAGATGGTTATGCAATTTCTTTTCTACCATCCTTTCACGTTCTTTTTCTAGCGCTCAGGACAGGTACTGAGCTTGTTATGGTGCCCCAGAACTGTTCTTCCTAGCATGCTGTATGGAGAGCAATCCGAAATACTGCAGACATACTTAAATACTGGATCAGGCCCTTCGGCTGCTGCATTTGTGTGCATAAACAACTGAAAGAAGTCTGAGCTGCTCACCTCTTCTCCTCCTTTCTATTTTACCACCCAGCTGTTAGCATTCATGCAGACAGATTTACAGATGTGGAGCTGGTCTTTTCATTGAATAAAACATGTCATGGCCTAGTAATAGGTAATACTTAGCAGTTAGGAAATTTGATCAAAATTCCTTTTTCCCTCTCTCTCTTCTTCTCTTTCTTTAACTTTATAATAGACGCATTTGGAGAGAACTATGAAATAATTGCTCAGAATCTGTTTATTCTTTAGGTTTAGTATAGAAGAAAGTAAAGTGTAAGTATAAAGCATACATGCAATTATTTTTTAATAATTTGCACATGTATATTCTTCATTATGTTGATATTTCCTATGTGCACTAGTGGCACTAGACTGAGAGCTGATTGGCATTCAGTTATACAGCTAGTCTCTAACCATTCAGGAATAATTAACAATAATCTTATTCTTACCTTTTTTTCTATTTCCTGCCATTGAAAATAGTCATTAGGAATAGTATTCAATCACTGAACTTGTATAGTATGTTTTTCTTTGAAGAAGTGATGATTTTAAAAATCCACTGCAAAAATAATTGGTTTTGTTTTATTATTTGTTATATTTATTTATTTATTTACTTTAAGTATTTTTTTTCTGTCTGCAATACTGTTGCACATTCAGTCAGCATATGGCTGAACAGCACTGTGAGGAAGGACCCTGACACAGCAAAGGCACCTTCAAGGTTTTGGGAACTCAGAAGATTCAGGGACAGCTCTGTTACAGATTAAAAGACAAGCCTTGAGTATATAATAGTGCTATCAGTTCATTTGTTTCTATTTGTCAATGTTGAGGTATCTGTTTGTTTTTCCCAAAACTCTAACTACCAACACTTGTGATTGAATGAAAATCCAAACTAAGAATGTAATTGTATAACCATTATCATGTCACCATCTCTCCCAGTCTACACCTGAAAATCCTGAAATTCATTCCTAGATACGAAACTGTACAAAGTATAAAAATAATGGATTTTTAAAATCTATTTTATGTAATAGTTAAGAGTAACATTAAATATATTGAAGATAACATCTTTAGATCCGTCTTAAAGAAGTTTTTGATTTTAAATGTGTTACAGCATCGAAGAAAAATATTTGTCTTACACAGACGTGGTTAATCCTGTTGATGACATTGAAAGAATCAAGGATACAAATCAGTTAAGGATGTAAATAAGATTGTGTATGTCTGTACTGTCAGTTCAGATTTTTAAAATTTGCAGAAGTGTAAATGAACAAGAATCCATCCTGAAGATATTTTTTTTGTGTCCTAAGATACCTGAATACCTTAAAAAATTCAGTTTAGTTGGTTTAATTTATCAGATTTAATAAATTCTTTTCAAGTTGTCATAAATATGAAATAAAAGTGATTTTTTATAAATAGTTTTATTCAAGTTTGGGGAAATTTCAAAGGAATATATTTCTATTTGCTATGATTTGTCTTTGTTCACCTTTTATTCAGTGTCAGTTTTAATTTATGTTCCTTTGTGGTTCTTTATCAGAACAGAACGTCTCTTAAAGGTTTACAAATTGTGCACTTGGGATCTACAGAACAAGCCTTAAGAGTGAAAAAGGAAAAAAAAAAGGCAAAATATAGTCTAAGTTTTGCTTCTGTACTACTTTTTTGGTAAAAAAAAAAAGCAAAACAAAAAAAAAACAAACGAACAAGAACTGCAAAAACAACAACCAAGCATGCAACAAAGATCTTTGCCAAGGGCAGAATGATTGATTGATTGAGATTATTGAGTGTTAAATTACTGTATTACTTGACTTAATTGCCATATCGTGCAGTTAGTCTTGGGTACACTGTGGGAGTGAGATTCTTAGTCTTATGGTCTGCTGGTTATTTTTTGATAGTTTTTTCCTTCCTCTTTTTTTTTTATTCATTTATGCCTGGGGACAGAATTAGCTTCATTATATCCTGTTGTCTCCTTATGTCCTAGAACAAAAATATTTCAGAAGTTAACATTATACTCCTTTGCTCAGAGAATATCTTCTTGCAAAAGAGCTAAGGAAAAAAATAGCCCATCTTCAGTGACTCACCTCAAAATGTTGATTTGCAAAGCCATGAATCACTGTTATAAATATTAATATCATTGTTTAACGAAGTACTAGATAAGCATTGGTAATCAAAGACACTGTGTGTTTCTGTTTTTGTGCTGAAAAATACCTTTTGCATCAGAGACTGTCATAGATGCATGCCAGCCTTCCAATAACTGGGTGTTTATGTACAGATCAAGAGGTGACATCTTCAGGGTCTGAAGTATCCTCCTTCCTCCCCTTTGTCTCTCCAAAAATGGTAAGCTAACCTCCGTTTTCCTCATGAGTCCTGGGTGCGGTGAGAGGGAAAAGGAGAAATGGAGATTAGCCCTGAACACTCCTGGGGTACCTGGGGACTTCAACCTTCTCTCGGTGAAAAGTAAGGAACTACAGGACCAGGTGACTGTCACTACAAGAGCAGCTGTGTATTCATTCAGTTCTACTTGCTTTATTTCATCTTAGTCATTTGTAAGCCTCCTAGCACCTGGTGGATACATAACTTGTCAGTTATCTCTGCAGTCAGAGCAGAGGTAAACCATACTTCATTACAGTTTCTAGCAGATGTTGGGGCCATTGGAAGTTCGAGGGTGGGGAGAAGGGGGCTGTAGTGTGCAGTAACTGCATGCACTATGTTAGTAGGACCCCATTAAGCTTAGAGAAGAACTTCTACAGTTACAGACTTCTATGTGCAAAGCTGCACAGCTATTCAGGGGAGCTGTCTTTCTTTCATTCTTTCCTTGATCACAGAATCACAGAATAGCTGAGGTTGGAAGGAGAAGGATAGGTGAGGAACGCATCCAGACTGCTTGTGAAAATCTCCAAGTAGGAGATGGCACAACTGCTCAGGGTGATGTCCAGCAGTGCTCAATCGCTCACACAGCACAAAAATGCTCCTGATGTTCAGAGAGAATCTCTTATGTTTTGATTTGAAGAGGTCCACTATTACCATCAGTTCTTAGCTGGTGCCTGAAGAGACAGTGAGCTGGTGGCAACTTGAAGGTACATGCAAATAGAGAACTTACTATCTAGAAAAGGATTGAACTACTACTTCTTAAAAGTCTTAAGTGTAGACCTTATACACTCTGGAACATCTAAGAAATGCCTCTTATGACGAGGATCTGAAGTTCCGAACAAATACAAAAAGAAAAACACCTGGAATGGAAGTAAGTGGCCCAGCACCTTTTATTTTTCCTCCTGTCTTCCTTTCTGTCTTTGCATGTCCTCCTTTCTCTCTGTCTCTGTCCTTCTCTGTAGAGAAACAAATGACGTGATTGAGAAACTCAAGTAAGCAGAACTTCAGAAAGATTTTAGTTCCAGAGTTGTGAGAAGATTTAGCAAAGAGGGTATGATATTTTTGTTATGATTTTGCCCTGTTAGCATCATGTAATGCTGGAATGTGGAATCTGCTATAAAACAACATTATAACCCATAAGATAAATATTTTTTAGTTCTGTAAGCAATATTGTGAATGAGAACATGTGGCTGAAACAAATGATGATAAAACTCTTGTTTCACCAGGTCATATATCAGCATGAAATATGCGTTCTGTCATTTATAACAATAAAAGGATTTATCATTAAAGAGTTGTTTATTCACACATGTTACAATTTTATGTAAAAATCACAAAAATTTGGCTTAAAAGAGCAAATAACACTTGCAAACATTGCGCAGCTGTTAATGTCAGTTTATCATTGCGATTTGGTTTTCTTCATTTACATGGCAGCTGGAGGCTTACTCTCCATGGACTTTGCAGAGGCCAACAAAAGTCTTTCTTGTGATTTCAAAGGTTCTGTTTCTCCCTGTAAGAAGAAGTCTTTCAGGACGTAGTTCAATTTGCTAATGTCAGACTATTTTGATAGGGCCTGGAGATGATGGCTGAAGGATCTAAACACACAAATAATCTTTTCCTCTCTGTTTCCTGTTTGATAAGAACACAGAAAGAAATCAAAGGATTTTATATTTAAATACCTATCTCTGTGGTTTGTGCTGTTGCCAGAACTTTGTTTATTTTCTGACAACCGCATGGCATTGAGTCTGTGGGCAAAGGATGGGGTTTTGCCTTTCTCAGTGGGAGAGAAGGAATAGAATGTGAAGAGCTATCTGTAAAGAATAGTTGAAAGGCTATGGGTTACAATTAGAGACTGAGGCAGGAGAGAGGACCTTGTTATTGGTATCTACTACAGGCCACCTGATCAAGCAAAGCCTATTGATGAAGCCTTCTACCTCCAGCTACAAGGAGGCATTGTGATTGCAAGCACTCCTCCTGCTGGGAGACTTCAACCACCCAGAAATCTGCTGGAAAAGTAGCAGAGTGAGCTTTAAGCAATCCAGGAGGTTCCTGCAATGCATAGATAATAACTTCCTGATTCAGGTAATAGATGGCCCCACCAGAGGGGAAGCAATACTGGATTTGTTGCTCACCAATGAAAATAAATTGACTAGTGATATCAGGATTGGAGGCTGCCTGAGCTGTAGTGACCATGCTATGGTTGAGTTCATGCTCCAGATGTGTATGGGAACTGTTGAATCACAGCCTGAACCCCTGATCACTTGGGGCAAGCAATGAGTCAGCCACAGGAGCACAGGTGAAGGCAATTCGGCTGTGTGGCCAGAAGGGGTGGTCCCCTTATAAGGGGGCTTCCCCATATAAGGGCTGACTGCCACGGAAGAAGGATCTTTCTCTGGCAATTGCTTCTCTTGGAGTTTTTCCTGCAAGCTTAGGATACGGGTAAGCTTTTGCATTCATTTCTGATTATTCCTTTCCAGTGTGCTAGTATTTTCATCTATATGCTCTCTAAAAACCAGCCTGACTTCTCTGTATACTTGTCAAATATACATCTGTATGCTTGTCGATTACACAAGAGGGATATGAGACAGGCGAAGAGTAAAATTAGGATTCTAAATTTTAGGAAAGCTATCTTCCAGCTCTTCAGGGAGTTAGTGAATAAAGTGTCCTGGGAAACTGCCCTTGTGGTCAGTGGTGCACAGCAGAACTGGCAGATCTTTAAAGAGGTTTTCCTCAGGTCTTTATCCCCAAATGTAACAAGTCAGGAAAAAAGTCAAGAGACCAGCGTGGCTGAACTGGGATGTGCTCGTCAAACTTCAGAGCAAGAAGACAATGCACAAGCATTAGAAAACACGGGATAGATAAGCAGATGTTGAGGTGAATTTGGAACTGGCTGACTGACCAGCTTGGAGCTTGTTGTCACAGGCAGCACTTGGAGCTTGGAGAGTTGTCTCTGGCAGCAAAGAGTCTGGTTGGAGTAATTAGCTGTGCTTCCCAGGGGGCAGCACTAGCTCTGATCTTGTTCAATAACTTTGTCAGCAATCTGGATGAAGGGATAGAGTCAACCCAGGTTTGCTGATGATACAAACCTGGGTTGCCATTCAATAAGACTTAGACAAACTGGAGAGTTGGGCAAGCAGGAACATGATGAGGTTTAAGAAGAGCAAGTGTAGAGTGTTGCACCTGGGGAGTAACAACTGCATGCGTCTGTGCAGGTGAAGGGAGGACCTGCTGGAGAGCAGCTTTGCAGAGAAGGACCTGGGGCTCCCGGTGGACAAGAGGTTGGCCATGAGCCAGATGTGTGCACTTGTGGCCAAGTTGTATCCTGGGGGCCATTAAAAAGAGCGTAGCTGGCAGATTGAAGGAAGTTATCCTCCCTCTCTACTCTGTCCTAGTGAGGCCACGTTTAGACTACTGTGTGCAGGCCTGGGATCCGTAGTTCAAGAAGACAGGTATCTCCTAGAAGGAGTCCACTGGAAGGCCACAAAGATGATAAAGGGCCTGGAACATATCCCATGTGAGGATAGGCTGAGTAACCTAGGTCTGTTCAGCCTGGAGAAAAGAAGAACTGAGGGGGGATTTGATAAATGTTTATGAATATCTAAAGGGAAGTGGGAGGCAAATGGGTGAGGCCAGGCTCTTTTTGGTGATGTGCAGCAATAGGAAAAGGAGTAATGGCCTAAAACTTGAACAAAAGATGTTCTGTACTAGCATGTGGAAGAACATCTTTACAATGAGGATGACAAAATATTGAAACTGGTTGCCCAGAGGTGTTATGGAATCTCCTGCTGTGGAAATAATCAAGACCCATCTGAACACCTACTTGTGCAATGTATTGTAGGGTACCTGCTTTAGCAGGGAGGTTGAACTTGTTCTCATGAGGCCAAATCCAATCCTTGCAAATCTGATATTTTTGAGGTCATTGTTTTATTCTCCCAATGTCTCTGATAAGAATTAATTAATGTGCTTGTGTGTATATGCAAAGTATTATCAGAAGTTACCTTCAGTGAGAGAGACTTTAAGGTTTTTCTTATGAAGCAGTACTCTAATTACATATTTTTCCTCCTCACTTTTAGGAATGCCAAGCTATGCTATCTTCTTTTTCTTATTTTCCTTTGAGGCCAGAAGAAGTGGAGTGAGATGTTTCACAATTTTGATTTTTCCACACAGAAGAAAATGTGTGCAACCTATTATTTCAATTGAGAAAAGAGTGAATTTCTCACTTAGATATTAAGTAAAGATTGTTCTTCCATTATAGGAATTCTGGAGCTGGTAGGGTCAGTTGTTTGGATGAAAATAAGGGTTACATGTCTTTGAAAACTCACACGGATTATGTGTTAGACCAGATGAAGCATTTTGAGAAGCATTCTTGTATAGACTGGTTAGTATTTCCTCAAAAAAAAAGCAACCGGCAGGGAGGAAGAAGAAACTTCTCTCACTTGTAATATTTGATCATTTACTACTTAGCGTTCTCTCTGTCTTCTTGACCTCTGCTCTTTCTGTCTACCAAGAACCAAACTCTTACATGTTACAATAACATGTTACGACATTTTCCATCTTGTCTATTTTGTTCTGTTTTTCTTGAATTCAATTGCAAGAGCTGGAAATAGTTTTAAAGATAACCTTGGTATAAAAAGTGCTGTAAGGAATATCTTCCTAATGAATTACACACATACATACACATACACATTTCAGTCTGTATTATCTGAAACACTCTCATCAGCACATACAATTTTTATTTGTGCCGCCCATGAATTTTTGAAGTGATTTGGCTCACTTGTTTGACTGTTAATGAGCTAATTAACGTAGTAGTGACTTCATTCTTCAGTAAACACTGAGATTCTATGCTATGGAACAGCATAATTGTCTTAAAGTCAATATTTGAGACTTCTTATATATATAATAATAAAATATATAATCTATATAAATAAAGATTAAAGTATCAAAAGCAGCTAGCTTTCCAAGCTACATTTAATATTTGTGTAATAGTTACTGGATCTCCAGGGAATTAAAGAACAGGCATGTTATTTTATGTATCAGAAGGAAAATAGACCTAAAATATTAATGTCCTTCAGCCTCCAGGAGTATAGAATAAAAACTTGATTTGTTAGCTCTAATGCATACCTTTTAAAAGCATTGTTAAATAATTTAAACTCAATTTCTATTCCAGTATTAAGAATGTGAGAAAGCATGCTTATCTCTTGCTGTGACTGTTAGTCTTTAAAAAAAAAAAAAAAAATCATCTATTTTTCTACTTGAGAAAGTTTTTATGAGGACAAACATAATTTTTGTTCCAGAATTACTTTTATTCCAAGTACGTGATTACAGTGATGTAAAGCACATAGAAATACATTACTTGGATTAGCAATTAAAGATCCTTTGTAATGATACACGTATAATATATTTCCATTCTCCAAATTTTTAAAATTTTTGCATGTGTTATTCAGTGTTTCTTCTGTAAATCTGTGAAGAGAACAATCAGTTTCTTTGCTGAACACCATTTCATCTGGAAATGTTAGACGTTTTTGAACATTGCTTTAGCCTGCTTTAACAGATGGCTCTAAAAATACTTGGAGTATATTTAAGGGGTTCTTCAAAGCCTTTACAAATACTGCATTTTTCTGGCCAAAGAAAAATCATTTACTATTTTAAAAATATGTACATACTAACATTCATGACAATGATGAATCCAGTTTACATAAGAGACTTTGTGTAACTACAGAAGATCAGTCATGTTTATCAATCTTGTGCTAATAGCATTCCTTACTACTCAAGATCTTTTATGTTCCTGTCTTGAAGTCTTTATTCTGATAAACTTTTCATTGAAGCTGTTTGTATTTATGAGTAAAAGGCTAGCAACGAAACAGAAGAAATCTTGTTTTGTCTCCTTTTTTTTTATTTTTATTAGAAATTTCTACTCAGGCTTACTTCTTGAAACTCTGAATTGCAAAAATGTTGCGGTTTTTTGGTTTTTTTTTTGAGGGGAAAATGTGTTTCATAAACAGCAGAATAAAAGTTGTTAAACACCACTGTGTTATGAAATCAGTTATTTCACATTATGTATGTGTGTTAACATAACGTATAATATTCTGGATTTACAGTCTGTCAGATGTCTATATGCTCTGCAACATCCAAGTCCTGTAAGAGCTTGGTTGTGCATCCATAACAGTGTTAGGAATGTAACTTTGTTTTTATGTGCATATTTATACTTTATGATCTTGTTTTCAAAATTTCAGTCAAAGCTATAAGCAGTAAAATGCTGAAAAAGAGATTCTACTCTATTCTGCTTACTTAATGATTAGCTAAGATAGACTGAAGAGATAGAGAAGATGATGAGTTCTTTTCACTCTTTCTTTCCTGATACATATATCCAATATCAAACTACACATCAAAAAGTAATTTCCCCAAAAACCATTCAGGAGATCTACAAAAAAACTCAACAGTTGTATATGGTCTTCCACATCCAGTAGGATGATGCGTACAACATCAAGGGTTTTTTATGAAAGACACTTTCTGAACCCATAAAAGCCATGAATGTCACTACTGGTTGTTTCAAAGAGAATCATAGGGTGTTTCACAGGAGTACAGATACTTAGATCTCTTATTTGGTGAAGTATATTGTACAATCACTGCAGATTTATGCGTAAGTTTGTAGATAATTTAATCAGGTTAATTGTAACTGGAATGATTGACGGAATCATTTAAATATAGTGAATAGAATTCAGTAATTATTCAGCACATTTTAGCAAATGTACTTAAGTGGCTTTACATTTAATGTTTTTGATGTTATAGCTTTAAGCAATTTGTATGTGGCATTAAATAATATAAATTAAAAGTTTTAAGTGTAAATGTACTTGGTTGTTACCTTGATCCTACTATTTTGAAAGAAACTTTACTAATTTACTATTGCTAATACAAATACAAATTCTGTGTAATTCACTGTCTTCAGAAATGTTATCAAGGAAAAATTACTTTTAAATTACTGAGTAGGTCAGAAAAATCAGATGGAAATAAAAAGGTGTTTCTAATAGCTATGTCTTCACTGTAATTAAAGCAAGACCCAAAACATGATAACAGTGTTTCACCTGACAAAGCTTTAGTGTAGAGTGATGCCTTTCTTTTATAGCAGATGGTTACACAATTATCATTTTTATTCCTCAGGCTATGAAAAGGTCAGAAACCAGTGCTGTAAAACTGTTTATTTGCTTTTATCCTTCTTTTGCATATTAAAGAGGTCTAAATACTATAACTTAGGAACTGAACTGATCTGACTGTATAAGGGCTGCTCTGAAAGCTGTGCCTGTCGTTTTATGATCTTGGCCCATGATGTTTTAATCCAGATGTTGGTGATATGACAGTAGAGATTGAATCTTCCCCCCAGTATCGCATTACATTTTGTTGCATTACATTTGTTGTGACAGATGGCAGCAGAGGGGCAGTCTGACACAACGGCATCTGACATAGAAGTGCATATGAAGAAAAACTGTGTCACTGAATACCTCTATGAGGAAAAAATGGCACCCACTAACACTCGTTGACATTTGTTGAATGTTTGTGGAGGCCAATCAGTGGATGTGAGCACAGTGAGGCAGTGGGTGGTGCCTTTCAACTTCGGTGACGGCGCTGTGAAAGACAAGTTTTCTATACATCTGTACAATTACAAGCATGGCATGCAGGTTCTTGTTCATCACTGGTGAAAATGCATAGCTAATGGTGGTGATTATGCTGAAAAATAGTGCTTTGTATCTGGGAATTTGCTCTGTCAAATTATTTCTGTGCTCTTTTTATCTCTTGTAGCTTCCATGGAAATCTTTCAGAGTATTTACTTCCAGAGACACCTACAAAATCAGCAGACTACTCTTCCAAAGGAGCAGTAATCATAGGATATTCTCTGAAGGATTAATCGGTATGTTAGGCAGTTTACATATTTCTTTTCAGTTTCTGTTTTTTTGAAGTGTAATTACAAAACAAACAACAAAAAAGCAACCACAAAAAAGCCTGTCATTTGAAATTTGGATAAAAAATGTTAGCATACAGTTTAAGCATCCTAATAAGAAGTTATTAATTCAAGAATTGTCTGCTGTCTATTTCTGATGTCAAAACTAGTACGAACTTTCAGCACTGTTATCACAATAGCAGGTTTGGATATGCTGCTCTCTGAAGATAATTTATTGTTTATTATTCTTTGATTTCACTCCTGGTTTTCAAAGTCTGCTGTTACAAGTATGAATCAGTTGCTCATGATAGGGAAACATTTTTTTGCAAGTGCTTTCTGAATTCCTTTTAATAGCATATTTCTGTACATAGAATTTTCAGATGATTGGGATTTCAGCTGTGTGAAAATTGGTACACTAGAAAAACAAAAGAAAAAAATGTGTTTATTTGGCATATAGACTGAACATGAAAGGACTGCTGAGATAGTGCTTTGTGGTTCTGTTCTCCCAGTAACCTAAAGGCAATGTGCATGTTAAAAATCACACAAAAATTAGATTTTGGAGACCTGTATAATCTGACAGATAAAAAAATACATAGAGAAATCTTGAATCTATCTAATTTGTACCTATGAAGTTACAGCAGGTTCTCAAATAAACTGGATATCTAAATAATTGAAGTATTTTCACCTTTTGTGCATTCATCTGCATATGTGTGAGGGTATGTATCAGAGAATGTATACCAAAGTAAATGCATTTCAAAGTAAAATTAAAAAGTTCATGAATTAAATCCCCTTGTCAAATGCCAGTGGTGTTACGTAAAAAAAGAGGGCAAAAAATCCATAAACTTCACTATGAAATATTTGGGATGGGATACACTTTCCAAAAGGTTTTACTACTTCTCACTGTAAATTTGAGTGAACTCCTGTCAGCTTTGCACAAGCAGAGTCAAGAAATAATAACCAAATGTGCAACTATTAACTGCAAATTTAGGTGATCATTTTTTAACTTGAAGGCTGAATCTACCCATTCAATTCTGACTTACTGTTGCAATCAATCCATGGAGTCTGCACACCAGGGAGGATGTTGACTGAGGCCTGGGGAATTTTCTATAGGCTCTTGTCACTCCTCCAAATTATTGAAGCCATGTGACTGTATTTCTGCATGTCCTTCCTTACTGCCTTTGTGTTTAGAACTGTCTCTCTTTGAAGAAAGACTTTTTTTTCTTTGCTGCACCAGCTTGTTCATTGCATCCTCGAGCAATATTGTATGCCATTAAGTGCCCAAATGTAGACAGTTTCAGCAAAATTTGATGAAGACATTGAGGTTTCAAAGATGTTAAGCTCTTTCAATTGGCTTGCACAAAATGTTGCCCAGGGACATAATTCAGGGTAAAGACCTGTTTCATCCATCAAAGTTGAGTTGCTCTGCTTAGGCGCATCCAGCAGCCAAGGAACAACAATCAGCCAGGCAGTCAACTCACAGAGAGCTGCTGGTCAGTTGGCATACCTGCAATTTTCTCCAAGTCACAGTACATGCTATTTCTTCCTTGGCTGTCAGACCAGGAAAACATAGATGGGAACCTTGAGTTGGTTGTGGTGAGGATCATGCAGTAATGAGGATGTGGCTGTGTAGGGCAGGGCACTGGGGTTCAATTATTTTATGAAGCATATACATGTATATAAACTTCACCAGCTATATTTTTCCTTGCTGTAAAACAACTTAAATGATGAAATTAAATATTGGGTTTATCAGTCACTTTCTAGCACTCAAATTACAGTTTTCAAACTATGAAACTATGAACTTAAACTATATGCACAATTTATCTGTTAGGAAGTAAATAGTATCTAAAATATACCAAAAAAGGCACACATATCCAAAACACACATGATCATGTATGTGAACCTAAATATGTACAAATGCTTGCATACAAACACACTAAACTGGGAAGCCTCATACTCCAATATATGTGGTTATATAAAGAACCATTTGAATACTATGCTCTGGTTATCTCCAGTGCATTTTGGCAGCAGTGTTAAATCACGCTGGGATGGTTGGGCAGAGCTTTTGACACCTAAATAAGACTAAAGTCTACCAGTTTTACCTTGAAGCTTGCTGGTTTGTGTAAATAATTTTTTGGATAATCTGTGAAATTTGTCACCAGAGGTCTTACATTATATAATTATGCTGTGAGCTGCAAACAAGCTGCATAAGAGTAGTGGTGACAGAAACATTATAATAGCTCTAATGAAAAGCTTTATTTCAGGAAAAAAAAAAAAAAAAGTAAAAACCTATTTCACAATTTCTTCATTGCCAAAAATATATTTTAAAATGTGTTAGCCACTTGCCTTTACTCTTTACCATGAACTGCTTTCTGTCTTTGGTTAAGAACCAAAATAACTGGAGCCAAGTGTTTAAGGCAACAATTTATTATTTAATTTCATGAAAAGTCCATATTAAAGAAGAAGAAAAAAAACTGAAAGGAGAAAAAAAGGCATTTGGAGGGCATAGCAGAGTGGACAGCAATGTCTCATAAGTAACACCAGCAGGCAGGAAATAAGATATATTAAATTCAAAGCAGCCATTTGTGTCCTCTGTCTCTCCAAGAATGCTAGTACAAATCCAGCTGGCACCACAGGTACTTTCTCCAGCCACATCTGCCTGATGCATTTGGCTGCCTGAAACTTTTTTTTTTTTTTTTTTTTTCCCCTTAAAGAAAGGTCTAAATGCTAAGAAAAGTAAATTCATTTATTTCAGGATTTCAAGGAACAGATAATCCACCACGTGGCAACTTTTCTCCTCAGCAGTTTTTCCTACTTAATTCTAATGATGAACAGGAACCAGTGAACAACCATGACTGTCATATTGCATCTTGTTTATAAAGGCATGACTGTATTTCCGTAAACTACTACATATCATACAAATCACTGTGGTTTTCCTTTTCTGGCAAAATGCCCAGTTACTAGGTTGAAACAATATTGAACTCCTGGTGTTGCACATAGAAAACTGAAGCAAAGATGGTCCATCAGCAAACAAGTAACTGTTCATTCTGACCATTCCGAGAAGGACCTGGTTAGCAGCAAGTTATTCCAGCATGCCTTTGCGATACTGAAAATTACTTAAATTGCAAATGGTTTGGCGAGCTCTTTCCTTCATCTAACTCTATCGACTTTTGCCTTGAGATCAGGGAGAATAATGACTAGAAATCAGCTGTAGCCTTGAAACTTTAATCTAAATTTTTGCTTGGAAGTGAGTCTGATACGAGCTATCTTTCTTTGTAGCTGTGGGACAGCATGGGATTGTGGCATTTGAATTCCTTGTTTTTCAGCTCATGGCAGTACAATTTATTTATCAGCTTGAAGTAAATGCCTTTCGTATAGCTGCTTGCATGTGGTCATTATGGAAAATTGTATACAGATTCCCAGTTCAGTTTAAGTTACAGATTATATGAAAACTCAAAATCACAATCAGTATTCTGTTGCACAAAAGAGGGAACTTCACAAAAAAAGTTAATTCTTTGGTCAATATCTTTATGTCTGCACAGCATCAGGCAATCAACTCTCAATAAACCGCAATAAATAACAAATAAGCATAAGGAAGTACAGCTGAAATACTCTGAAGTATTTAAGGCTTTAAAAATTTAAGGCCAAGTAATTACAGCCTTATAGATATATTTACTATAGAGAAGTGTTTTCCTTGAGGGAATTTGAGGTTAACCACATGGCACACTGACCTAATCTTCTTAACTACAATGAGACACTACTGATGAAGTATGACATTGCTACCTATATTTGCAGCACAAAACAACAGACAAAATGGCTGTATAGGTTATTTGGTAGTCTTCAAAAATAACCTTAGTTATGCAAGGTAATATAACAGTGAACAGTCAAGTATAATGTTTTAGGATATAAACTGAGCATTGATGGAGCCAGGAAAGCAATTCCCTTATGCAGAACTGTGACTCACTGCAGCATGAATCATTTATGTCTAAAAGCACAACTGTCCTATTGTGTTTTGCATTGTGTTAATATTTCCATGGTAAAACATTGTTTTCAGAGCTTCTAGGTATGGAAAATGGATTTTTTAATTAATACCAGTACTCAAAACGCCAGACCAATGGCACAAATTGTAATTAATGTAATAGATGTTTTCCCAATCAAAAGTAGTTTGGGACTTTTTTATAGACACGATAAATTTGATTTTCAAATGAATATTTGAACTATATTTAGCATTTGTGAACAGAAGAGGGAACACATCTGTCTGTATGAATGTATCTAATTATCTTGCTTTTGTATTTTTATTAATTCTTTCCTCTTTCTCCCATCCCAGTTCTTTCCACTTTATACCACAGATGTTTGCTTCAGGATTTGTTAGCTACATTTGTAAAACCACTGGGCCTGATCCTTCAGTCAAAATTGGCAGGTTTTTAGCTTCCTGTGTATTTCTCATAACTGAACTTATATTCATGCTTGATTTCTTGGAATGTTTCATAAAAGTTATAAGGAAAATCTTAGGTATAAGTAAAATTGTAAACACCATTAGTCAACAGGTTTTAATGAAATCTTCCTGATCAGAGCAAAGCCTTTTTCCCTAGGATAGTTGGGCAGTTTGACCCCAGGCTGCATTTATTTCAGATTGGCATGTGGCTGAAATCACCAAAACTTCAGATTTGACGAATTTGTACTTCTTATCAACGCTATTGAGATGGAGGTGGCAGAGTTACTTCTGCCCAGTTTTACGGACAGACGTTTTGGATGTTCTTATCTAAGCCAAGGTTGGTGCATGGACATCTACCCTGGAGTAAGAATGGACTGCCAAAGACACATTAAGTTGAAGTTGGGAGGAATGTTGAAAAAGATTAATTGTAGAAGGGAATCGTCATCTACACCTTCTCCTGTGAAACATCTTCATTATATCACTGTCTGTCCTTTGAATATTTTGAATGTTCTGGACTAATTAATAGAGATTTTTCTCTCTGCATTGTATTTTTGATTCTTTTCCACCCTTGTGTGACAGAAGAACTATGTTTGATACAAAAAAAGTCTACTTTACAGAAGTTTTTGCTAAGATGAACTTCTGTCTCAAAAATTTGATACATAGATACTTTTTCTTTCTAAGATATGCTGTTTTATTCTTACAGAGTCTGCTTCTCGTAGCCTTCAGGCAGCCCAAAACTCCAGAAGCAGTATTGTTGTACAAAAATGAAGAATTATCCACTAGTTATAACTGTTGAAATTCATGATATCAACCAAATAACAATAAAAAATTGTTTAGGACAGCTAATCCAAACGCCATCTGGTGTATCTTGACTTTCAAAGTTCCTATCCTATTAAGAAGTTTTATAAACTTCTTACACTAAAATCAATACTAAAACATTCACAGTTTTCATTAAGCCAATATTAAAGGCTTTTAAATATTAAGATTTTAAATTTGAACTTGGATTTTTGTAAATTAGAAGAACTCAGAATGACTATGTAACTGTGATGACTTTACCTCTGTCATCAGGCTGGAAAACACTTTCAAGATTATGTAGTCGAACTATCTACCTACGGCCATCTCTTGTAAAATCTCATGTAAAATAACAAGATTTGAAGATTTGTGACACAAATCTTTCTGTAGAGTGCAGAGACTTTGTTCCTGTCTTGGTATCTTTAGCTCCTAGTGGAAATAACATTTTCTCCCAGCTAAGAGCTACATCCCATCTGGATGAGTAGATGGCTTCGTAAGACATTCATACTTGTGGAAAAAAGAGGATAAGAATTCTGTAATGGCAAATATATGATTTATTTCCGAAACAAATGTATTGTTGAGTGTCTTTCTGAATGAGAGATAGGAAAGATTACTAGCCTCAATTTATTCTAAACTTAATATGCAAGATACGTAACATGCAGGTATTTTCAGGGAGATCAGATGGCCCTCAGTACAAAACAATTGCTATATAATTGTCTTCTATGATTTCTGGTGTGACTTTTACCACCCAGATAATGAAGACCAAGAATTGCAGTGGACTCACCTATATCCCCCATGGATTAGCAGACAATTTAAAAATGTTACATACTCGTTTATAATTGGGTACAATTAGCAGCTGAGGTGCTGCAAATATATTCTTTTTATACTTGCACAAAAATGAATACACATTTTTAAAATCTACATCTTAAAAGAGAATTCCACTAGCTCTGTAATAATTGTATGATAGTAAGAGTCTAAAATTTAGTATATCTTGATTAATTTGAAATCATCTATTTTTTTCCCACTTTTCCTTTTGTCTTGTACTAGAAGTGTCCATAGCATATAAACAAGAGTCAGTTCCAAAAGAAAAAGCATGTAAAGAAAAGAAATAGCTAATAATGATCACGGAATAACTACTCTTAAAGTACCGAGAAAAAAAAAAAATTACTACTACCAGGTATTCGGATCTAAATTTCAGAAAAAAGGATGAAATTGCAAATTGAACACATCTTATCACTTCTTGTTTTTGTTGGAGAAATCATTTTCTTTTGTCTATGTCTGTATTTCTTTTTGTATTCTGCCCATACTGTAATAGTATGATTTCAGGTTTCAGCCTGAAAGTTATGGGAGAAGACAGAAGAAATCATCATCTTTGCAGCTCTTGAATGGAAAATTACTGACAACAATGTACCAGCCTACACAGAAGAGCATGATGCAGGAGAAACAGATGAGAGTAAAGATTATAATTTAGTTTTCTGCTCCATGTGAGTCAGAAGAGCAATTTCTTGTGTGGATGACGTGTTTCATTTCAAAGGATGTGACATTTCCATTTTGCCCTTGCTGCCCAGGAGATAAGACAATAATGTGTCACAAATCAGACTTCGAGGAGGTGGTCAGGATAAGAGAACAATCTAAGCTCTTGGGGTTCTGGTTGTGTACTCACTGTGGATGCTATTAGAAAACATTTCACACCTACAAGCTGCGATCTGTATTATTCCAAATGAGAGAATTGTTCTCTGAAATATTAGTCAGAGTTTGATGAATATGCTACTGATGTTATGGATCACCTGAGGTGCATCTGCAAAGGCCTCTCAAGAGACTCTGAGAGCTCCCTTGCCTTACTGATTCATTCAAGTAATTCATCGAAGTGGATGAGTGTAGCTTTGGCTAATACCTATGGAAAGTTTATAATGCTTTGTTTACTGTACTCCATGGCAAAACAAGACCTCATAAACTCCCATTGTACTTGTAGGAGAATTTCTTTGGAATAACTTTATTTTGGAACCTTGTTTTTGTCACTGGCAAACACTTTCCTTCCCTGAGAAGTATGCACAATTCTTGCCATCCCTAGGTGATGCATTCAGGATGCTGTCTGGAGTTCAGAAGTGGCTTTCAGACAAAATTAGAAATATTTTGTCTTATATCCACAGAGACTTGAGATTTATTCGTTGAAGATCAATGTAGCTGTTATGGATAGGAAAGAGTGAGTTTTCTGTTCAGGTGGAAACCAGCCATTCAGTAACAAGAAAGAAAACGTACTTAGTGCTTGTGTGCCTCAAGGGACTGTTGCATCTTACTAAATATTTCGTAACATCTCTGTCATTTAAGATATTCAAAGCCTGAGTGGACATGGCTGTAAGAACTCTGGTCTGACTGGCCCTGCTTTCAGCAGGAGGTTGATCTGGTTGTTCTCCAGTAGGGCCTTCCAGCCTCAACTACTTGATGAATCTCTGTAATAACTTCTGTACGATAATCTTTAGAATCCAGTGGATAACTAGTTTACATATGTACATTTCTTTTCTCATCTACATTACAGCTGCTAATGAAACTCATTTGGGATGCTTGCAAATGAAGATTTAAAAAGCCTCATTTAAGATTCAGTTTTGTTCTGATTTTTAAATTCTAACTTCAGATGAAAACAACTTGAAGATTATTGTTTCCTTAGAAAAGTTAAAATGCTTTCTGTTTTTTCTTTCTGTATTTGTGTGTAATTTACTTCATATCTCAATAAGAGGCTAGTTTTGCTAAATATAATCTGCAGGGCTTACCAGTAAGTTAGGAAAGAGACAGAATTCAGTAGCAGAACTAGCTGACTGTGAGCCACTGTATGAGATATCTGACTCTGAGCTGCTGAGAATTGTTCCTATATTCTTATCAATCTAGAAACAGAGGATAGAAAATGGCAATTCTTTTTCATCCTTGAACTCTCCATACTAAATGCCCAACACCATCGGTAATAGATATCAGATTTTATATTTTCTGGCTTTTCTGGATGAAAAACAGTGAATTTTATAGTCTTTTCAACAATAATCTAATCTGGAGCCAACTGAATGTGGTTTCATGGCAATTAAAATACTGAAGTTTACAAGTTGATTATGGAAGTGAGCTTAAATAAAATAGAATTTCACACTCAATTGCTGAAGGTAGTTGGTTTCTTTTTGTTTCAGACATCATTCTTTTCTTTGTTCTCACTCAAATGATATGTAAATTCTTCTAATTGTTGTTCTTTAAAGTTGGAAATATATGTCTTTTATTTTAGCTTATCAAGTGTAATACACCATGGAAAGGTGCAAATATGACAAAAACATTGTATTAAAAGGAATTGAATAAGCTATCATAAAAAGGGGAAGCAAATGGTTTATTTCATATATGTATGCTCTTTTTTTTCATATAGTCTACATTTCTTCTATTTTTGGTTCATGCAGATCTTTTGCCTTTGAAGGGTTAAATCAAAATCCACACAGACTTTTACTGACTATGGAATCCCTCCCACCCTGCCTCCATTTGAAACCTTTGAACTCAATTCATGTCTGCAGTCCTCCTTCCATTACAAAGTAATGTCAAATCTCTGCAAAGACTGGGGCCTGTTTAATATCTTATTTGTCACCTAGTTAAATCCTACTGTTTGACATTTAGAATTATCTCT